CCATTTTTTAGTTAAAATACCAGTAGCTAATATTAAAAAAAGAACAAGTCTTCAAACTCTTCCAAAGCACTGGCCTTTTATACTGGTAGCATGTGCATTCTAACCAGAGGCAACAAGGAACTCTGAGCAGTCAAATGTGCTGAGGAACAGCAGGTTACGGTATAGGTCCTGAAACGAACTTAGAAAGGTGAGGAGCCAGACATGCAGGACGTGGTAGGTGGGCCAGGGTAAGATGTGGTTCTTCATTCTGCACCTGCTGGAGTGCTACAGAAGGGTTTTATTTTCTTTTGAGGGGCAGGGGGAGAGAGAGAAATAGGGGTGGGGGGAGAGAGAGAGAGAGAGAGCGCGCGCGAGCACAGGTCTTCGAGTTTTGAAAAGATCATCAGAGCCAGGTAGGCAGGCTCAGACTTCCCATTGCCATTTTAATTACTTTAGAAAAACCAGTTTCTTCCTCATTAGACGTAACATCTGGGTTGTGTTTACGAAGAGAAGCAGATGCTTCTGTGTTTACTGTGTGTTCTGGGTGAACTGTAAGGTACTTACCATATGAGGAGGGGGAGCTGGACCGGGAGAGAAGGGAACCCTTCCCCACATTTTCATGATATCACCAAGAGGCTGGAAGCTTTCATCACATGCTCTTTTCACCAATAAAGACATAGTAAAATAGCCCGCCTGAAACCATTCTGCCATCTCCTGATTATTGAAGGGACCTATAATAACACCAATTAAAACAGAAGGGCAATGAGAATCCTTTCAGACTAAAGAGGAAAAAAATATTTTCTGGGTCTGATCCTCATCCAGAGGTAACAACCTGTTTCAGGTGGCACCTGTCAAATAATTTTTAAGATAATTTAATTCATCTCCAAAAGTAGAGAACAGGATTCTAAACTAATAAAACAGAAACAATTTTAAAACAGAAACAATTTTAAATACGTCTTTAAGTCCCAAATTCTCAGCAGTGCTTTAATTATTTTAAAAAGCATAATTATCTCCATCTCACTCAATATTTACAATTCATTTGTCAGGAAGTATATAAATAAAACTGAAAAGAGTTAGTTATCTGTTAGGCTTTGTATCACTTAGGCATGTAGAATATAAACATGCAGGGCTGAATATGCTCTCCTCTGATTTTCATTTTCTGCCAGAGATTATTGAAAGTTAGGCAAAATATAAACAATAATCAATTATATTAAGACTAATTATAATTTATTTACCTGGGTAAGACTAAATCTGGCCTTGATAAGGGAAACAAAAACTAACATTCTCTAGATGTTTTACAATAAGAAATAATCAAATATTTTATACAAAAAAATTAACGAATACAATCTGCTCAGTAATCATTCATTCATTCACTCAGCAAACATCTACTGAACACCAACTATGAGTCCAGGCAGTGAGAACACAGCACAAAACAAAACCAAGTCCTAGATCCTCTACCTCAGGGAAGATGGAGCAGATGTGCTTTTCCTGCTCCTCCTGCTAAATACAACTAAAAACCCTGAACGTTATATATAAAACAAATAAAAGAGGACACTGAAAGGTGGAGAGAAGGAAGCAGACTGACCAGGGGCCTTGGTGTTTGAGGAACCACATGCTGGTGAATTCCCTGGGTTTGCATTTTACCTCACATATCCCAGATTTGGAGCCGAAGAATCAGCAACAAGAAACATGACCCAATATACACAACTAAAAACAGGATCCAATTATATGCTGTCTACAAGGAAGTATTTCAAATATAACAATTTAGGCAGGTTGAAGGTAAAAGGATACAAAAAGATGTATCATGCAAACATTAACCAAAAGAAAACTGGAGTGGCTATATGTTAGTATTTAATATAGTAGACTTCAGAGCAAAGAAAATTATAGAGACAGGAACATTACATAATAATAACGGGTTAACACCAAGGAGACACATCAATTGTAAAAGTATAAGCACCAAAAAAACGCTACAAAATAAGTGAAGCAAAATCTGGTAGCTGAAAGATAAACAGAAAAATTCACAATTACAGTTAAAGGCTTCAACAGCCCTCTCTCCACGACTGATAGAACTAGACAAAAAAATCGGTAAGATTAGAAAACTCATCATCATCAACCAACAAGACATTAACAGAACTGACATTTACAGAATACTCCAAAGATAGCAAAATACACATTCAAGTACCCACAGAACACATAGCAAAATAGACCATATGTTGAGACATAAATAAATCTCGATAAGTTTTTAAAAACTGAAATTATATATGTTGTTCTTCAACTACAAGAGAATCAAACCAGAAATCATACACAGAAAGATAACAGGAAAATCTCCAAACACTTGGAAACTAAACAACACACTTCTAAATAAACCATGGGTAAAAGGGGCAGTCTCAAGGGAAATTAAAACAAACAAACAAACAAACAAACACTGAACTGAGTGAAAATATGTATATTAAATATCGTGGTATGCAGTTAAAGAAGTGCTGAGAGACAAATTTATAGTATTAAATGCTTACATCAGAAAAGAGGAAAAGCCTTAAATCAATAGTACAGGCTGCCACTTCAAAAGCTTAAAAAAAGTACAAAACAAACTCTAAGATGTGGAAAGAAATAAGTAATAAAGAGCAAAAATCAATAAAATTGAAAAGAAAAATGGTGAAAAAAAAAATCAATGAAACAAAGCTGATTCTTTGAAAAGATCAGTAAAATACACAAATCTTTACCAAGACTGACAAAGAGAAAAAGGGAACGAATCAAATTACCAGTATCAGGAATGAAACAGAAGACAGGCTAGCACTACAGAACTTGCAGGCGTCAAAAAGATAATACTACTATCAAAAAGATAAGGGAATAAATAAGGGAATACTCTACACACACACAAAACCTGACATCTTAGATGAAAAGAACCAATTTGTCAAAAAACACAGACTACTGTAATTCTCCCATATTAAACAGATAATTTAAATATCTCTATAACTACTAAGGAAATTGAATTTGTGATTTTTAAATTCCCATAAAAGAACTCTCCAGATGGTTTCCCTGGAGAATTCTACCAAACGTTTAAAGAATTAACACCAATTCTAAACAATCTTTCCCAGAAAATAGAAGGGGAAAAAATAATTCCCAGTTCCCTTTATGAAGCTGTTATTTCCCTGCTACCAAAACCACAAAATGAGAGCTAAAAAAAAAAACAAAAACAAAGAAAAAACAACCACTACAAAACAACATCCCTATGAACACAGATCGAAAAACCATGAATGATTATTACCCAATAGGATGCAGCAATACATAAAAGGAGTATACGTCATGACCAAATGGAATTTATTCCAAGGATGCAAAGCTGGTTCAAAATTCAAAAACCAATCCATGTAATCTACCATATTAACTGTCTAAAAAGAAAAATCATATGATCATATCAACAGATGTAGAAAAAGCATCTGACAAAATTCAATACCCAATTATGTTGAAAACTCTCAAAAAACAGGGTACTTCAATTTGATAAACAGCATCTATGACAATCCAGCAACTAACATTCCACTTAGTTATTGAAGAATGAATATGTTCCCAAGACAGGAACACAGGAAAAACAAGACAAGTATGTCTGCTCTTACCCCTCTTATTCAACATAATGTTGGAATGAATACACAATAAGGCAACAAAAATAAAACTGCCCTTATTTGCAGATAACAAATAATGTCTACGTAGAAAATCCTATGGAAGTTAACAATAAAAATTAACTACTAGAACTAATAAATTAGCTCAGCAAGGTCACAGAGTAAATATCCAAAATTTAATTTGATCTAATAGTGAACACATAGATATTGAAATATAATAAATTTACAGTTGCTCAAAAACAAATACTTAGGTGTAAATCTAGTAAAACATGTAGAGAGTCTATGCTGAAACTACACGGAGTTGATGAAAGAAATCAAATGTCTAAACAAAAAGGGAGGGAGGGGGTTGGGAGGGAGAGAGGAAGGAAGGAGGGAAGGAGGGAAGGAGGGAGGGAGGGAGGGAGGGAAGGAAGGAAGGAAGGAAAAAAAATAAACAAACAAACTGAGAGGCACACCACGCCCATAGACTGGAAGGCTCAACGTGGTAAAGACGGAGGTTTAATACAATTCCTGTTAAAATCTCAGCAAGATTTTTAGTAAATATAGGCAATATTATTCTAAAATTTCTATGGAAAGGCAAAGGGACTAGAATAGAAAAGCTAAAAACTATTTTGAGAAGAAAAACAAACTGGGAGGAATCAGTCAACCCAATTTCAAGACTTCTATAGCTACAGCAATCAAGACTGTGGTGTTAGTGGAGGGACACAACGATCAGTGCACAGGGACAAATGAACCCAGAAACTGACCAACACAAATACACTCCATTGAATTTTGACAAAGGTGCAACAGCAATTCGAGGAAGGAAAAACAGCCTTTCAACAAAAGGTCCCAGAGCAACTGGACATCCACAGGCAAAAGTAAACCTTCAATTCACCTAAGTCCTATGCCTTATACAAAAACTAAGCAAAAATGGATCACAGACTTAAATACAAAACACGAAACTGTAAATTTGGGAAGGAGAAAACATAGGAAAAAAATCTTTGAGCTCTGAAGCTAGGCAGAGAGTTCTTAAGACTTAATACCAAAAGCACAATCCATAATAGAAAAAAAGTTGATCAACTGGGCTTCATTAAAATTTAAACCTTTTGCCCTGTGCTTTGTTAAGAGCATAAAAAGATACAGAGCAGGAGAAAATATTTTCAAATTATACATCTAACAAAGAACTAGCATCTAGACTATATAAAGAACTCTCAAAACTCAAAAGTACAAAAAGCAAACAATCCAATTAGAACACGGGCAAAAAACATGAAGAGACATTTCACTGAAGAGGGTCAACAGCCGATAGGCACATAAAAGATGTCCAACACCTTTAGTCACTAGGGAAATGCAAATTAAAAACTGAATCAGTCATCACCATACAGTACTTATCAGAATGGCTAAAATTAAAAATAGCAACGTCACCAAAAACTGCCAAGGATGTAGAAGACAGCATCACTCACGGATTGCTGGTGGGAATACAACATGGCACAGCCCCTCTGGAAACCAGTTTCATTTCACCATTTCTTTAAAAACCTAAACATGTAATCACCATGCAACCCAGCAATTGCACTCTGGAACATTCATCTCAGAGGAATGAAGACTTATGTTCATATAAAAACCTATCCATGAATATTTAATAGCTTTATTATAATAGCCAAAATCTGGAACAACTCATCTGCTCTTCATGGGTAAAAGGTTAAACTATGATACATCCACACCATGGACAAACTACTGACATATGCAACAACCTCCTGGATGAATCTGCAGAGAATTACGCTGTGAAAAAAGCCAACCCCAAAAGGTTACATACTCTATGATTCTATTTATGTAACCAGTCCTGAAATGACAAAATACGGACACGGAGACTAGGTTAGTGGTTGCCGGGAGTCCAGCAGGGGGAGGAGGTGTGGATGGGAAGGGGCCAAGGGTGTGGCTCTAAAAGGGCACCATCAGTGAACCAACACTTCCCCCCACCCCCGTTGAGATGGAAATGTTCTGGATCCTGACTGTACCTAAGTCAACATCCTGGTTGTGATACTGTCCTGCAGTTCTGCAAGAGGTCATCGGTGGGGGAAGGGACATAGAATCTCTGTATTATTTCTTATAGCTGCATGTGAAGCAACAATCAATTATCACAAAGTAAATTTAATTAAAGCACACAGCCCTGCTCTCAAGTACCTTCCATTCTACAGATCATAAACAAACATACACAGTGCCGGGTTAACAAAAGACGCTCTGAAGACGAGGCAGGGTAATGGGACTAAGTAGGGAGTTACCACATAGGAGAGAGGTCACAGGGTGCACTTGGTAAAACACTGTCACGAAACTGACACTAACACAGTCCGGTGACTGTGTTCAGGTCATGACCAAAGACTTCAAAAGCAGAAATGAAGAATCAAATGTCCTTTATAGCATTCTCTCTCCATTCTAATTTAACTTATATACCATATAAATCTTTTAAGTAATTAGTTTATAATATGGTACTATCTCTCCTCAGAGTTTTAACAGTTCTTTATCATTTACGATATCAACTCCACTTTAGGGAAACATTAAAGCAAGGTCTTCCAAAATTGCTGCCATCACCTTTTCATGGTAAGGAGACTAAAGTGCAGAGCAGGTAAGTAATTAATTCACTTGCCTGGTTACAGCTGGGACGCCAGAACTGAGGGGGTCTTAAGCAATCACAATCTGCCCTGTATTCAAATTGTTTTCATTAGACTCTCCCCGCCCCCAACACTGACATCATCAAGTACTATGGGGGGAGACTATAAAAACGCCGTCTATGTATATAAAGAAAGCCTGCAGCATCAACTGCTTCTTCTATTATGCAAATTAACATCAAATAACCATCTTACAGAATCTGGAGATAATGGCAGACACTTCTGTACTTAAAGTAGAACGGAACGACCTACCTTGAATTTCTCCCTGAGGATCTTTATAATACCACTTCTGCATTGCTTCATGCACCAACGGAATGGAGACTCCCTTGGCTCTGTGCTCTTGCGGTTTTGATGCCAGTCTCTCATCATCGAGTGCACTGTCTTGGAGATAAGCCACCATCTTCTCAGCTTGCTAAAAGAAAAATAACAAATGGATTGTGAAACAAATGATCTTAAATTAACACTTTAAAAAAAAGTGCCTGCCTTTTTTGGACTACTTGATCTGTTAACAGCATTATGCAAGAACACGGCAGGCAACAATTTAATTCTTCCAACAATGCCATGAAATAGGTACTATCTCCATCTGACAAAGGGGAAAGCGAAGCTCAGAGAGGCCACGTCTCACACAGGGTCTCCAAACCACGAAACAAACCGAACTGAGATTAAAACACAAACTGGTATGGACCAAAGCCCGGGCTTCTAATGAACACATTAATACGAGTAGTTTTTAAACTTAGAAGCCACCGGTCAACCCTAATTTGTATAAAATAAACCTGCAAATAATGGGTGTTAATAGAACGAATGGCTCAATTCATAGAATTACAAATAAAATCTTTTACAACTTTGACTAAGACGTTGTCCGTCGTCCCTTGTCCCTCGCTTCAGCAGTTCCTGCCACCAACCGCCCCGCCCGGAAGGAAAGAATTTCTTCTGTAGAAAGCAAGCTATCACTTACTTTGCACATACACAACATTATATACAATCTAGGGAAATCTACAGAGACATGAATAAGATGTTAATTAACATCCTGAGAGTTTAACTATTTTCCCTGTAACACTTTAGGCAAAATATACAGACGACTCAGTGCCCATACACAGCTGCTTCCATTCGCCATTTCTGGCATTCCATTAACCTCCAAAAAGAAAAAAGAAAAGCAAACAGCTAAGGGCAACCTCAGAAGAGCAAAAATAACCTGACATAATGACTACTACATAGCAGAAACTTATAAGCATGAAATGACTGGAAAGACAATTACTCATACAAATAAATACTAGATATACAAACAATTTTTCCAGGACATAAAACCTAGTGCACAGAAGTTCCATTTTTGAATACTCATTTAACTGCTTTCAATTTTTACGACAGTGTGAGAGAACAAAAGAATTAACGTGACTTTTACCTGCTCCAAATGTTTGAGGCCCTCTTCCTCATCCGGCTCCGCGGAGACACCGCCCATACCAGGAGCGCCCACGACTGGAGTTCCAACCGGCCGGAGGGCAGGACCAGAACTGGGGACAGGTGGGGGAAGTATGAGGAGAGGAGAGGCTGTGTCTGAAGGGATCTGTGACAGGGGCTGCTGGACGTCAGGCACCATTTCTAGAGGGGAAAAAAATGCAGACAGACGAAAACCCTTTACAATAGAGACTCTTCAAAAACAGAAGTACAGTATGCAGTTGGGCCGCCTGCTAAATGGGGTCAAAGGAAGTGCGTACTACACTGTGTCATGAATACTGACTGCTGCCACTTCCTACGGAGAAATGTAGTACTGCTCCCTAGGATGACAGAAGTACCTCCACAGAATGACAGAATGTAAGGCGTAAAAGGTAACCATAAGACTACCTGAGTCACTGGAGCATCTACCCAACAGTTATAGGTCTACTTCTTGAGAACTGAGTCAGTCTAACTCCTTTATACACATCATGTCTCCAAATAGTGAAGACAGTTAATGAAGCACTGCGAATCTTCTCAAAGATGGCATATCTCATCACTAAAACCTGTATTAAAAATATCTGCAATTACCTCAAATAAGTACCTATTTTAAGTCATAATGTAATTCAATACATTATATTTTGTACAATAACGAAAAACACTTGAGTCTACCTGTACAATGCAGGAAGTTCTCAAGAATAAAAACTGCAAAAGAGGTTCTGTGTTGGTTCCTATTTCTAAACTCAGTAGCAGGCTCTTGAGAAGGAAAGGGGGCTGGAAGTAATTAGATACAATTGCAGTTTCCCCCTTTGAAACTGTTTGTTCTATTGCAGACAGCTTCTCCAAATTCCTATTCCTCTCAGTCTTGTCTTCCTTTGCCAAACTTTTTAAAGAGACAATCTATACAAACTGTCTCCACTTCCCCAACGCCCACGCCTGCAACACTGTCACCTCCACCTCCACCCCTCCAGTAAAGCTTCTCTCCCAAAGATAAGCAGTGACCTCAAGTCCCCAAATCCACTGTTTTCCTCACCCTCCTCATCCAAATCTTACTAGCATCTGCCCTGCCCCGTTCCAAGCCGGAAGCGCTCTCCGTCCTCCGTTTTCCTGCGCTCTCCTCTTTACTTGCCTCTGAAGATTTCTCCTGGGCTCCTCTTTACCAATCCTCTGAAATCTGGAATCACCCAGCGTTCTGTTTTCAGTCCACTTTTCTTTTCACTCCCAACCAGTATGTACTTCAAATTTTTCACTCTCTCTGGCCCTAAACTCTCCCTGCCTGGCTAGAGCCCCTGTTCACCTCGTTTCTCATCAACACCCCAGAACCAATGTTCTAAACTGAATCTATTCTCTCCTCTCCCAAATGTGCTCCTCAACCTCCACTCTCGCTCTACTGACGGCACCATAATCCTCCGAGGCACCTCACCCATCTTTGACTCGTTCCTCCTTCTTTGCCCTGATATACAATCAGTGACGATGTCCTGCCAATTTCTACTGAAATCTCATCTGCCATTACCTCTCTTTACTGGTGCACTGCCTCCCCACATGATGACGGCTCAGGAGCCCAGCAAGGTCACACTGCAGCCCATCTGTCATCACGACAACCTACCTCACACGTCAAATCTACGTTCCAACCACGTTTCCCCCCATTCTCCTTTCATGCCTCATATTTCACCTAACTCAGAACAGGAGATGATTCCTGCCCGTACCGGGATCAGTCCCACTTCTTCACGTTAGCTTCCACTGATACCTACTACTGGAAAGCCTTTTCCCATTTCATCCAGCTATGCCTACCTCCAAATTCTACACAGTATTCCAGGACAAACTCAGACACTTGCTTCCCGAAGCATTCCAGGAGTCTGCCAACTGTGAATGCATAGTTCCTTTTTTGCCCTAGATTACTGATGCGCATATGCTTTATTCTTCTCTAAATCTGGAGTTTCCATCTTTAATGCACATCTATGAAGCTTCCTCAAAATACACGTTTTGGGTTTTTTTTAAAAAAACACGTTTTTTTGACCCCATCCTAAAATCTCCTAGAGTGAGGACCCAGGCATGTATATTCAAGACAATGAACCACAAATAATTTGGGGCACATCGTAACTGAAAAATGACTACCACAAATAAAACAGGTCTCAAAGTACCCAAGTCCCACAGTGCGCCTCACATATAGAGATTCAAATACTTGCTGAATTCATTCATTCAGCTTTGTTCTAGACATAAAAAACTAAAATGAAATCCTTGTATCCAAGCAAAAAGGTAAACAGGTCTTTATAATACTGTATTGCTATGTTAGTTTAAGAAACGAGATAACTAACCCAGCCAGGGAACATGGGGTGGGAGAGTTTCGGTCACAGAGAACAGCACGTGTAAGGCACAAAGGGAGGAACGGGCACAGTTAGGCTCTGCGGCTGGTGAAGAGAGTACGAAGGAGCATAAGAGCCTGGCACCAAAACTACACGGAGGAGGCAGATGCCAGATCACGCCAGGTCTCCTCGGCCACGTTAGAGGGTGTGAATTTTTATGGTGAATCAATCACCTAACCCTTCGACACCAGGCATTAGAGTCATTTTTTAATATGTACGAGAAGAAACATGGACATGAACATTAATAATGCCTTCTAAGGTACACGAGAATTCAAAATCAACATGGCAATGTTGGAGGAAATATACTTTAAGCTTATTCTACAGGAAAGGTGATGGGACTTCCACAGATCCATCCATGGTCTTTTTGGCCTCTTTTGGAACAATGGCGTTTTGGTGTGTCACCTCGGACACACACGGCCTTTACATGAAAGGAAGGTGCCTGCCTAACACGGGACTCGAACCACTGCAGAGGATCACACACCCAGCTGCTGGACTGATGCAGGGTGGCTGTGTCACGACTCCCTGGGAAAGGAGATCCTTGCGCTCCATCCTCACTTCCTCCAACTTGTTTTGGTGAATTCTGGAATGGGCACACGTGTTTGAATGGGAAGCAGTGTTTGACTAGGTTTACCAGTAAAACAATCTATTCTAATAATTCACCACGAGATGTCGTTCCAGAAGGCACAGAGAGAAGCCTGTCTGATCAGTCAGTGATCACTGGTCCCAGTGGAATCCTATCGAGCTGTCAACTCCCACAAACACGTACCGTCCCCTCGGCTGGGCACTTTGGTTGACAGACTATTTTCTGTCCGACTTTCTTCTTCAGCTTTTTCCGTTTGCTCAGTTTTGGGTTCCTCTTTCCTCTCAAACGGTGGTGCTTCCTGAGGCTGATGACCTGAAGGAGTACCTGGTCTAGCAGATGACGTTAAGGTTTGAGGTGTGTCCTCACTAGCTTCTGTAACATGAAGCAATCTTAAATTAACGATTTAGGAAACTTTGATATAAAAAAAAAAGGAGAAGACAAAATTGCACCTCACCAACTCCTATTCTATCTGTCTTCTCTGCCTCTTTCTTATGTGTCTTATCGGGTTCTTTGGCTTCTTCGTTATGGCTACCCTCAGAGTCCGAGCACTCCTCCCCTTCCTCTACAGGCCGGAAGTCCATCTCCTGCTCTTCGGGAATAGGCTCTTTCTGTACTTTCTGTAGCAAAAAATAAAGCCAAAGGTTAACAGCATATTTGGATTTGGTAGAAGGTCAGTGGCTGTCATGACACTCAAAACAAACGTCTTACCTTTAGAGAGAGGAATGCTCCCGATGAGTCGAATGTGCCCATTTCTTCTTCCGCGTCCTCTAGGCACCACTCGGGCAAGCTGTCCCTGTCATCGTCTATGCTCCCACTGCCAGAGCGCACCCTGCGGTAACCCCGCTCATCATCCCGGTCTCGAAAATCGAACTCGAACCTTCGCCGTCGTTCCATGTGTTCCCGCCAGCCTGCAGAACGAGGGCCATCTGGGAGGAGGAGGACACAAACCATAGAGAAGTTTTACGACAGTACTGGAAGAAGAAAATCATGGACTGGAAGTAAAGGAGAAAACTACAACTGGAAGCAAATTCAAATGGATCAACCTACTAAAGAGAAAATCAGGCAGACTACATGAAGTTCAGAGCTCAGCATATGAATCGCACCACTACGTGACACTAGTTAACTTCATTAAGAACCAAGCCGCAAGATACTCTTAAAGCTTTTGAAGATACATCTGAAACGAATCACTTTAAAGAACACTTTATTCGAAGTATATACTTTTAATAAGCTTTTGGTATCTGACTGAACGCTGATGAGCCACTCACGCAGGCGGCCCCTCGCAGCCCGCTTACACAGCGCCGGCTGGTTCCATACTGAAGTCCCTCCCTGCCCTCTGGCACATCTTTAAGCATGTTCTTCCCTCTCATGAAAATATCGTTCTTTAAGGATAAGACCAGCTTCCTACGTCAATTCATAATATTGAAATCATCATGCCTACTTACTAGTGCCAACATCCTATTTGTAATTCTGATTCCCAACAAAAAGCCATGGAATTATAGCACTGACGAATGTCACAGATTTTATCCTAATTATATAGTTTAAAAAACAAAAATTTTGACAGCAGAAGTAACTTGCAAATGGCAAAGCAGAACCAGAGTCCAGTTCTGCATCCTCTACTGCTTTTTCCACAATAACAACACCCTCAACGCTTCTTTCCGGGCCCTTCCTGTTCTCTCGGCTCTCAACTCTCCGTAGGGAGTTTTTATTTCCGTATAACGCCCCCAGGGACATTCCTAAATCCACCCTAGCATACCATTTATTACATCCACTACCCAACAGAAAGACTGCCTAAGAATAAAAGATCCTAGGTTAAAATCTTTTTTTCTAAAAATGAAAGGAAAACTTGTTAAAATATGACAAACCTGAGTCTGAGAGAGTCTTACAAAGAGAGGCAGGTTTTAACCTATTACAATTTTCTCTCCTTGACTGCTTTCTCTGTGGGAGATACAAAGAAATTAGGCCAAAGTGAAACATTACTACTGAGGTTCGATTTGCTAAAACCAGCAATCTAAGAATCAAACTGAAAACCAAAGGGCAAAATGTTAAAATGCCCAAAACAGGTAATATTTTATAATCCACTCACCAAAAAAGTAGGGAAACATCAATCTCCCATTCCCTACCCTTTACTTACAAAACCAAAACACTATTTACTACCTTCTGTGAAAACTAAGGAATTCTATACCCAGAGTCCTTAAATGTAAACCTCGAGTCAATATTCAAAATAAGTATTCGTAATCAAATGCTGAATTCCAGAGAACTCATTCTACTACTCTCATTTCTAAGCCACCCGTAAGTACGCGCCATGATAGAATCTAGCCTTCTAGGCATCGGGCTCATGTTTCCCTCTTACTGAGTGTCCTAAGTTCAGCTCCCAGAGTGGATACTAGCTGTCCTTAATGCTCCCATCTCCATGCATATCCAGCTGTGGGCTCTACTTTAATAAAAACAGAGCCCACAATTTTGTTGTCTTACCAACAGCAAATAAAAATTTATTCATGAAAGTAAATGCAGCAGATAAGGCACATCTATAGCTTATTAAGCCTGACCCCTGCTTTATAGACCTTACATGAGAACTAGTTTGATACTATTTTCACAAGATAAAATAAGTCAAAATCATTATGTTTAAAATTTCAATCAAATTCTAATCAAAGATTAACTAAAATCTAATGCTGAGTAACATAACTGATATAATCAGACTCCATTTTTAATATGCTGGGTTGAAAGAGTAGACAGTATTCATTTTTTAAAATGCATATTTACAGTGTTTTTTCAGCCCCATATATCTTTATATTTCCCCAAACTATCTTTTAAAATTATATTGATAAAAATTTGGGGGAAATTGTCAGATTGATGACAAAACTGATATGAATGTCAAATATTATGAAGAAGGATTTAGAAAAATAAGAAAAAGACAACATATATCCGAAATCTGAGTTGTTGGTCGAGGATGTTCGGTGGGACAGCGGAATACTAAAGTTTTACTTTGTTCAACTCCCTTTAATAGAATCAACATCAGACGTTTCGGCTCAGAAACACTGTTCATCTTCCAAAACATTCACCTTGTTTGTTTTTGATCAGCTGGAATTTTTCTTCCCTCTTAGCCCAGACCCCGTCCATTCGCACTGAACGCTTGTTGGGAACACAGTCTACAAACCCTCTGCTGACAGGCAAGCTCAGCACAAGATGCCAGGATGCCTTAAAGGAAATGATAACATCTGGTTGCCCAGGGCACGGATTTTGGAGAACTGCCTAGATAACTGTGATGTAAACAATGCCCACTAATGACAGTCATAGGAGTTGGGGCAAAAGCATTATAACTTTATCCAAGGACTGACGTCACTAAGTTTCTACCTACCCACAATGCCATTAAGCACTCCGAATGCCTGTCATGTTTACTCAGAGCCAAGGCTAGTGGTTTTGCTAATAACTTGATTTTTAAAAGTAAATGAAAACAGTTTACATTATTATAATTTCCTCTATTAAAGGTAAGCTCCCTTGGCATACGACCGATAGATAAAATATTACATTGCGCATGTGAAATTCGAAAGACATGTACAGTCTTACACTTCAGTTCTGCATGACCCCACGATGCAAACTACAGTGGCATCTGATTACCATGAGGCATAGAATCAGCACTTTGGCAGGAGATGAACTTTGACACAAAGCACCAGTGTCTTCAATTACCAGCATATCTAATGTCAGGGAAGAACAGTTTGAAGCATTCTTCAGAGTCAAACAGAAGAACTTACAAAACCACTAATCGCTACTATTCTCTCTCCTTTATCTAAAGTTAGAGGGACAAAAGAACGAACTTGTGATTATGTTTTTGACCTGGGTTTAAGTTTATTTCTCAAATAAGCGTAAATCACATTTCCAAGACAAAAAAAAACCTGAAAGAATAAATCCTTTCTTATGCAGGGGAAAATAATTTTTAGGGGGAGCACATGTCCCTAAGTGAGTGAATAATTATACATTTATAAGTTTTAAAGCATGCTGGAAAAAAGACTCAAAGATTTAGAGTTAGACAAAACCAAATAAAACCTTCTCTCAGTTGTGCAGTTAAGGGCAGGTGCTTCCCATTAAACCACACTATTTGCCCCAGAAAAAGAAGTCATTTTAATCAGCTGAATAGATGTGGGAAATTTTTATGTTGAATTTTTTTTGTAGTAACAAGACTGAATTTGATGACAAAAATAATGACTCCACTTTTTTAAAAAAGAAAACAGTTTATCTTTTCCAATTATTACCAAAAATTTCCACCAAATCCTCAACAGAATTCTTACCAGGACTATGAGGCCGCCATCTCTCTCCATCCCTTCTTGATCCAGCTAGTCGCCAACCTCCATCTTCATCTTCTCCATTTTGTTCCTCTCTAAAAATACGCCAATTTTCACTCTCTGATCGTATAAATTCATGCTTTCTCCCCACTGACGCTGGCCCACCTTCCTCAAAATTTGGTCTCCCTGTAAAGAAATAGAAACATGAGCATTGGCCAGTAACGATTTTGAAAATAAACTTGAATGCTCAAATCAAGCTTTTCTGCAACTGTGTCCATTTCAATATTCAGGTGGTGTAAATAAAGTAAGTATGGGTCTATGCATATATTAGTAGACTCATTTCTTAAAGCCGAATGTTCACCGACTGGGCAATTATTTTTTCAACAAAAATAATATACGCACTAAAAAAAAAAAAAGCATGCAATGAAAAGTGAATCAACCTTCCCCATACACAAGACGACTCCCAGTCCAATCCTCCAGAAGTAACCACCACAATTCTCATAAAGCCTTCCCAAAACTGTTTGTGGCTTATACATGACATATACTTATCATGTATATAGAGAGCCCTCATTCCCACTCCATAACACCACCCTCAGAATGCTATATGTGTTGTTCCGTACTCTTGCTATTTTCACTTAACAGTGGATCTTGGCAATCCTTCCTTATCAGCACGTACTTTCTTAAAAAGTTATACAATATTTTAAATTATATGATGTAACTTAATCAGTTCTGCTGGTGACTCTGCCCAAACAGGATCTCTGTAAATTTCAACCTTTCTTTTATTCCAAAACAGATCATAAACTTAAAAGTAGAGACTGCGAGCTATAATTTTTCATTAATCTAGGCACCTAGTACTATAGGCATACAACAAATTGCTTCTGAACAGAATTCAAAACTAAGGCGTGTCTGACCTGATGCAACTCGGGAGTTCTATTAAAGGTAGAAGACAGCCTGGTGTGCAAAGTAAACTAAACTGGTTCTTTCAAAGGACAAGATCATTCAAAATTGTGCAAATTCTTTAGTCACCATCTCACATGTGCTTATGATTCATAAGATTATATAAAATCTCACATTAAAGTAGTTGAAAATCCAGAACATACAGTGATGTCCTCAGTTTATAACAATGAAAGTTATAGTCTCTCAATGACAACCTCAATTCTTTTCATTAAACCATACTAAAAGTGGGGAAAAGACTATACCGTGGCATCTAAAAATGAGGAAATGTTATTTTTTTGGTCATCCTCTTATAGCCCATTTCTCATTAAGATTCCACACCCTGTTTGCCCGAATGGCTGTTACGTTGTTATCAGATATTATTCTTAAAGGGTTAAGATTATTTTAAAGAACAAGCTATCCTAGAAAAAGGGTTGGGGGTGCAATTATTTGCCAGGCAAAACACTGTCTGCTTTTTTTATTATGGCAGACGGCCTCCCACACAGCTCCCGATGATCCCTGCCTTCTGGCCTTTGTGGAAGTCCTCACCAGAGGTATGGGCTGGACTGACTTGTTCCTAACAAACAGAATAATAGAACAGAAGTGATGAGATGTCACTCTCATTATTAAGTTAAAAACAACTTTGGCTTCCATCTTAGATCCCTCTCTCAGAGATTCCGGCTGCCACATGGCAAAGAACTGAGGCTTGCCAAGAGCCACACAAGTGAGCCTGGAAGTAGACTGAGCCTCGGGATGACCGCAGTCCCGGCTGACACCGTGACTGAAGCCTCATGAGAGGCCCAGGCCAGAACCACCTCGCTGGGCAGCACCTACCTGAGGTGCCCCTTCCTAGCCCACAGAAACTAAGATAATAAGTGTCTGCTGTTTTCAGCCACTAAGTATCAGGGTAACTTGTTATGCAGCCACTCATTTAACTGACTTAATAAATAAAAACACTCATTTAAGCTATTTTAATCTTCATAACAAGCCTCAGTATTAGAAATTATTTTTCCCATTTCATAGCTGAGAATACTGAGGTTCACAAAAATAACCCAGAAGAATTGTCCAAATTCACACACTGCTATTTTTTTAAATGGCATAGATAGGATTCAAAAGTTAATCTCTGACTCATTCAACAAATATTTATTACACACTAAGTGCCAAGATACAGATTCAAGTATAGACATATTCTATATCTCTGCCTTCAGGTTAGACGGTCTAGAAGACCTTGCAGGCTCTCTGCTCAGAATTAAAATGGGACAATTCATTTCACAAAGCACCACATCTATTACATGACTTGATGAAAAATGTAAGTACATTTACAAAAGAGGAACAAATTTAAAACAAAGAAATTCCTAATGTGTGTAAACTGATTAAGTGATGAGAAATGGCTTTCGATCCAGGAGTCCCTTAATCGCAGTAGTGTGCGCCAGGTCCAAGCAGCGAGTCGGGAACACAGTGATAGTCACGTGACGGATGAGCAGGTCAACCAACCACTCATTTTCATCTACTTTTACATATGCCTTTGAAAATGTAATAAATGTACCAAAGGAAGCAAAACAGCAATGATGGCAAATTGCTTAACTCATCAAAAATTAGTCATTAAAATTTTTTCTAAAAAAAAAGTATTAAAAATAAAAATACTAGTAATCAATCTAGAAATAGAACTCTATCTGTAGTTAGCTTTTACATAACTTTACATTTTTATGTCATTGCAATCAGTATATCTACCATTTTGTAATCTACTTTTCATCTATGATAGCAAATACTTCTTTTCTCTGTGATTAAACATTTTCCTAGTAAGTGGATACATTCCAGGTATATTCCTTCCTGCTGTAGCATAATCTATCAGATTTTTCCCCACTGAACATTTGCTTTATAACTATTTTTTTGAGGACTATAGATAATGAGGTAGAAATATCTGTATGTTTTTTGCTTTTTTGAACTATTTCTTCTGAAAAAAACTTCAAAGAGTGAAATTGAAATCACTAGGTCAAATGACAGACTTCATACATGACATACCTTTCCCCCCTCAAAAAAGGGGTCAAACCACCACACCATTTTACATTATCAACATTAAGTGCTGTATCCTTTTAAAACTTTTACTTATAAAATGGTGGTATACTAACGGCTCAAATATGAATCATGTTGTCTAGTGACTTTATTTCCTTGTAGGAGAACTATTTGTTCCCCTGAACTAACAGCTTCTTTACCTTTGTAATTGTCAAGTCCTACATACACTTTTCATATTAATACCTAGGAAAAAGAAAAATATAATGACAGAATAGGGTAAAAAGAAGGAAACTTCAGGAAGAAAAAAAATCTACTTATTGAAAACTATCTTGCAATTCCCAATCTGTTAGAAAACATGCACCTCATAAATTCTGAAAGACTACTTTTGCCATTCCCTGTTCCAAAAAGGATTTAAGACAGAAATTTTAAAGATAAAGAAAAGCACAGTACCAGAGAAAGAAGATCTTGGAGTAGCCAGATCTGATTTTAAATTCTGGCTCCAGTTCTGATCTATATACCTTGACTAAAGAAGATTCAATTCCTAATTTGAAATGGTTGAGGGAGGGGAATTAGGAAGGGAGGGAGGGATGGAGGCGGGGAGAGGGGGAAGAGAGAGAGAGAGAGAGTGCGCGCGCGCGCGTGCGCTATTATGAATCATGCTGCTATGAACATTCTTGGATATATAACATGATGATCCATATGTTCGCATTCTGTTGGCATTTACTTAGAAGTGAAATTGCTGGGTCACAAGGTATATTCAACTTTAGTAAGTACTACCAAGTATTTCCCCAGAGAAATAGTACTACTTTACCACTTTGCTTGTTTGTTTTACTCAAACCGCTAGTAAACATTAACACGAGGACCTCCTCTATGGACAAACACAATTGAAGACATAGAACTGAAAACAAAGATGAGATTCAGAAACAGCACCTACCTTCTAGGTCCACGTTCTGAGGACACACAGGCAAATAAATGACTTGATACATTACAACTGACAAAACACACTGATATATCTCATATGAATCTCATAATAAACACAAGAGTTAGGTCGATTATCATCATCTCTACTGCTCCTCCGAGGAAAGGGATACCTAGTACAGGTATCCCAAGGTCACACGGCTGAGTAGTGACCACATCAGAAATAGAACATAGGTTGTTCAATCTCCTAATTCAGGGCTTACTTGCAAATTAAACCCAACAGAAGCAGCTAGAAATTCTAGAAAAACTAAAGTAGGAAGAGGAAGATCAGAGATTTAAATCTAAGAAGCTCTAAAAGGGCAACAGACATACCATACGGGAACAAGCTGGGGACGGAGACTGCCGACGTCTCTAAAAGGGGGAAGATGGAACTAACTTGCTAAATCTTCCAGCAAAAATGATATGCCAGTGAAAAAAATATTAAGACCAACTCATTCAATATAAAAATTTTACTCTAGAAATTATTTTGAGGGGGAAAAAATAAGTTCAAACATCAAATAAAATACACATTTCCAATTACTACTAACGTAACTAAAAATTGCACTATATGCAAAAATTGCTCTAAAATATTCAAATAAATCCTTTATAACCTAAATAATTGCAGTTGACTTATATTTATGTAAATTTGGGTGGGGGAGTGGGAGTGTCAAAGAGCTCTTAATCTGTATAATTTGCTTTTTAAAATATCTGCACATTAATGATATAATTTTAAATTAAGGATAAATATTAAAGTCATTCATGGGCAACTTAGATTAAATATATAAAGTTCCTTCCATGTCTAAAAATTCTAGGATTCCATAGAGACCAGCGCTAAAATGAGCGCGGGACACCCGCATGGCCTTCTTGGGCCCTGAAAATCAAAGTCTTCTTCCTTCTATAATATCAGCATTGGGACAAAGCTGAGTGACCAAATATTTTCACTGACTTCTTTTTCAAATCTTAACAGACTGATTTGTCAACAAGATGATTTAAAAGTAAATGTAATTGAATAATTTACAAATTAATGCCTGAGTCAAATATTCCTTATCTATAGTCAATGGTCAATAAATGAGTGCAGGATCTATGAATCCTTGAACCAGAAGCACCTACTGCGCTGCCATGCTTTCGTCTTTTTTCAGGGAAAAGGGTCTAAGGTTTTTGTCAGTCTTAAAGGTGTCTATGACCTCCAAAAGCTAAAGAAACACAAATTTAAAACGTATTTTTTTCTATTCAATATAATATGACCACTTTATGAGCACACTATATTATCTGTATAATGCATG